AAGATGCATTATGTAAAGGTACAATTCCCAATGAGAAATGTAATTGTGTTGTATACCTACAATGTACCAATAAAAGAATTTAATACAAAAGAAAAAGAAATTTAGTTTGCTGTTCATGAGTCAATAGATTTTTAAGTGGTTGAAAAGAATCAAAACAATAATTTTGATGATGTGAAAATATATGAAATCCAAACTTCAGTGTACATCAGTAAAGTTTTACTGGAACATAGCAGTGTGCTTTCATTTACAATGTATTGTCTGTATCTATTTTCACCTAATAAAACCGAGCAGTTGCAGCAGACATTACATGAACTCAAAATTTAAAACATTTACCATTGATCTTTAACAGAAAACATCTGCCAACCCCCTTATCTGTAAGGAAATGGATAGTGATATTGGAAGCAATTGAAGAATTGAGTCATGTTCACCTAAACCTCAGGCTTCTATAGTTTCTAAACTACCTCCTGACAATACAGAGGCTACCAGAAAGTACTTTACCTGCCATCTTCTTTAGGGGACCTGGAAGTAAACATGGAAATTATTAATCAGCATTTAAGACAGTTATAAATGTCACAGCATTCCTGAAAGTACAAGTTATTTATATATTTCTTCTGATTTTCTTTGAAATACCTTCTGAAATGAAAATGCTTCATAGTATCAGACACTAGCAAAGTTCTGTTCTTTGAAGAAAATGAATGAAAGTGAAGAAAACACCCTACTTTAAAGTCAAAGGTTTTTACAGTCGCTTAAACTTCTGCTTAAAAATATTTTAAAATAATTAATATGACATTTCTTTGTGAATAATTTTTTGAAGTGCTGAAGATTGAACCCAGGATCTTTGCACTGAGCTACTTCCCCAGGCCTTTTTTATTTTTTATTTGTAGAGAAGGTCTCCCTAAGTCACTAAGTATCCCAGGCTAGTCTCAGACATGGCAACCCTCCCGCCTCAGCCTTCCAGAGACCGGGGATTACAAGCATGCACCACCTCCCTTGGCTATAATTAAATTTGTTTTTGGTAGATCAGCAGAGGACTTCAATTATTGACATTAAAATTGGAAACCTTTTTGAAGATGCATATGTAATAGTATTAAAATAAATGAAAAATTCAGATTTATAGATCCACACTAAAATAAGACATTGAGAAATTTAAAAGAAGTTTACGTACATCCCTTCTACTTTTATACCATCAACAATAATTAGGCATATGGCCAAACCTATGAAAAGAGAGGTTATGAAAAATAGTTCCTAGCTATGCCATCATGGGTCTAATTTAAATGTCTGATTGTGGAAGAAAGGAAAAATGTAATTTGGATGTATTTTAATTCTGCCATGAAGAACAATCAGTTCAGATTGATTTGTGTTTTTAAAACTAAGACCAAACATACTGTTGACCGCTATATCTATGGATATCCTTTCTTCCAGAGGAAATAAATAAGCATAGTGGAAATCAGTAGAAACACACCCTTTTTAAAAGAATCTGAACTAATTATGATGTATGACAAGATACTGAAAGAAGAAACAACAAAGTGTGCTCCTAACATAAATAGTGACATAATAACCTAAGTATCTCTTCCTCAAGCAGTATCTTGCCAGGAACCTTTAGACTTTCATAAACTTGATGCAAAAGAAAATACAAATATTCTCAAAGAAAAGAGATTGCCTAAATATGTACATGGTTGTATTTCCATGGACTGTCTCTGCAGATATAAAAAGCTGGGAACAGTAGTCGTTTATCAAAAGGAGTACTGGTTTTATTTTCACTATGCACCTTTTTATTTTCTTTTTAATTTGTATGTTATATATTTATATTGCATCTAAGAAAACAGTAAAATTCATTTCCTTTATTAACAAAAAAGTGCCAGGCACGGTGGTGCATGTCTGCAACCCCAGAGCTCGGGAAACTGAGGCAGGAGGACCACACAAATTCAAGGCTAGCCTGGGCTACCTAGTGAGTTCAAGTCCAGTCTAAACTACATAGCAAGACCCTGTCTCAAAAAAAAAACAAAACGTGTATACCTCTGAACCAGCAATTATGATTCCAGAAATTTATTCGAAAGATATAACAGTATATCTTTATAGTTAAAAAAGAGAAATATAAATATTCAATAATAGAATGGAATTAATTATACACATATACTATGGAAAATAATGCAGATTCAAGAAAGAAAAGCTGATTAAAATCAAAACAAAAATTATAACTAGTAATCATATTAAAGTACTATTAAATAAGTACAATCTTTTGGCATGATTCCACAATTTGATTTCAATAAAGATTAAAATATTTTTTGAGGAAGAGAAAAACAGACTATAAGACTGAAAATGGAATGGCATGAAATTACGCTTAAATCACATATGAATGCAAAAAAAACACAAAGAAAGGACTAGCAGATGTTATGCAGTGAGATATTAAGAGTAGGTAAAGGTCAGACTAACCTATATTTTACTGCAAAGCCTTTAGTATTTATTCATTTTTTAAATTAATTTCATTGGTACATTTTAGGTATACAATATAATGACAGTCATCATTGGAAATTTGTACCTTTACATAATCTATCTTGGTTCTTATTTCTTCACCAATCACCTGCCCTCCCTTCAACTCCTCCACCCCTCCCTATTTACAAAGACTTTGTTTCCATTTTTTTATTTTCTCATATTAATTCCTTTCTCTTCTTTCCTTTCCCCAATCCCTCCCACTTCCCCTTCTCCTTTGGGCCTTTTTAGTATTTATTCATTTTATGTAACAGACATCAAAACAGAACTTTCTGTGTTCTGGAAAGTAGGTTAAGAATTTTACAAAAATTAATTCACTTAATCCTCATTAAGATTCATTAAACTCTGTCCTCAAGTTACATGTAATGAAACTAAGGAACAAAAAAACTAAATCATTTCCCCAAAATATTTCACAAGCATTTTTAATAACACAGGCTTAATAGTTAAATTATTTTTTATACAAATGCAAAGTTAGGATTTACTAATATAACCCAAACCACCCAGCCAGAAGTGCAAAGGCAGGATTCGAACCCAGGCAGATTGGCTCCAAAGTCTTTGTTGGCTTTCACATGCTGTCAAATGAGAGAGGTCTTCAAAGGCTTCACATGCTCATCTAAGTTTAGTCACAGGTAAGGGTAGCAATCTCTAAAACCTGATCATGGTGTGAGAGCGGGTAAGTCATACAAGACATTTCTTTACTAAGCCTGTACTATTGAGTAAGTGCCCTTTGGTAAATTATTTAAATTTTCTGTGTTCTGGTTTCCTTATGAGAAAAAAATCAGTATATATAGCCTGCTGTGCAATAAATGTTACATAAGTAGTTATTGTTATTTCTGATAAACTGAGACCTTTTGACAAAGAACATGCCAAAGTTGAAACGACGAATGACACTGTTAATTATGCTGTAAATTGCACAGTACCCCGGTCTATGCTTCCTTAGAGCCAACAGGTGGGCCATAGCTATCATCCACATGGTTCAAAACTCACATGACTGGGTCTAGCAGGAAAGTTAAAAGCAAGAGCTATGGTACCAGCTACTTTGTTTCAAAATCCCTCTTCCATCTCCAATAGACAAACTCTTTGACTGTATAATGTTTCATCCCTTTAAATCTGTTTCTTCCTCTATGGAATGATTAAAAATATCTGTGGACAGTTGAAGATTAAATGAGTTCAAGAATGTGAAGTTCTCAGTACAAAGTACTCGTTTAATAAATACTCCCAAGTATTATGGTATGAGTCTTAAACAGCAAAGAAATGCCCTTAAAAGAAGTTTGATAAAAGAACATTGATAAACTTTAGGAGAATGCCAAGGCCACATCCAATCTGACCAATCTAATCACATCAGTGCCAAAAAAGAGCTGTGTAACTTGTCAACTGTAAGCTAAGGACTCAAATTCCCAAATTTTTACTCTGGCTCAACTACTGTCTCCTTGAATATATTATTTTGCCTTTTTCTAACTCTGTTTCCTCACCTTAAAAAACAGCACCAAGAATAGCAGTTTACCAGAAATAGCATTAAAGTACAGCATTCAAATCATTTTTGCTAGAGTATATATGATAAACATAAAAGATTTTCATTTACAAAGAGTACTATTGAGCACATGTATTTTTAAAGTAAATCCATTTACCTAAATTCAAGAATATGAATATCCTTGTAGCCTGGTAACCCAGTAAATGCCTTTTCAACCTGTTAAAAATAAAAATAAAAATTACAACTATATAGAAATGTGGAGACCTACTGTATATATAAAACTCTTATAAGATTAGAAGACAAAATCTACTACTTACAATTATTTGAAGATACATATGGGTCCAGCAATGAAAAAAGTGTTTTTCAGCAATTACAGTGTTAGAAAATAACATTTGTCATAACACTGCCACATTTTTCTTACTCATTTGTCCTTTAAGGTTTTAATGTACTTCCATATTAATTTTCCCCAAATTATAAAAAGCATAATCTTATTGGCAAAACACTCTTTCATCTCTTATGTGATGAAATATGAAAAATTATTAATTTCAAAAAAGCTATTATAGCACTTTTAAATGTTATTGTTTGGATTAAAAATCTGGCCCCAGTCAATATACAATGACAAAGAGTCTAGTGTCTGTTTTCCATAAATGCGAAACTGTCTGATGACATCTGTTTCTTGTTCCTACAACATGAAAGAAGTATGAACACACTAAGCATTTGAAAGAAATGTTCAAGCCTGGAATATGCTCCAGGATAGACGCCTTGTAGACTGGCTGTGCCAAAGCAGTGGCTAGGTAATTTCCATCAAAAGATGAGTTTGTGAACATTACATCCACAAAAGCATTACATCCACAGTTTTTAATACTTATTCTTTAAAATTCAGCCATGTAATTCCATATGAGCTTAGTGACTGGAGGAATAAAAAAGAATGCTAGACTAGAGATCTAAAAATAATCATATAATATGCAAATATATTTTAATAAAACTGGGCATTTAATTCATAACATTTCAGAAGGTGGCTTATGAGATGGGTTGCTATGTGGCCAAGACCACAATAATGGAAATTAGTTTAATGGACTTTGGGGGCATCTCTGGGTTTCTGTTTTTAAGTCATTAAATAACTAGACAAGTGAAATTTTTTAAAATTTTGATTTATTGAACATCTTCAGGTCTTAAGAATAAAGAATTCAAACAGGATACTTTTTTACTTTGTTTTACTCTTTGCAAGGAAAGAATAAATTCTTATAAGATGGAGATAGAGGTGGAATTTGTAGGACAAGGAATCAGAAGCCTCTGGTATTGAGTGACTATTATGTCTGGTGCTTTGCATTATTACTTCTAATCCCTGAAATATTCCCAAGACATATATATTACCCTGGCTTTATAATGAGAAAACTGAGACACTAAGATATCAAATAACTTGGCCAGGAGCATACTTTTTGTGACTGAATCAGAATTTAACTTGAGATTCCTCTAATACTCAAGCCATATTTCTCCCACTGATTTACATTGCCTTCTCCCCTTCCTATTGCCTCCTGATAAATGTTTTATAATTAGGATCAAGACAGCAAAAACTGAAATTCACCACATTTCCCTGAATTAAAACTAAAGGAACTATAGAGGGTATAAAGGAAGGAACACTTAGAAAGGCAAAAAGAAACTTGATTTTTACATTCTATTCCTAGAGAGGCTGAAATAATCCTGAACAAGTTATTTGGCCTGCTGAACCACATCTGTAAAATGAAGATGCTTATCCCCAGGACTCAAGTGAGCAAGCAGACAGAAAGCAGTCTGTGGAAGCACTACGGGCTTGCTTAAAAGCACTACGCAGGGACACTACATTGATGCTATAACTGTCTTCCCCCCTCCCAAGTTTATCACACTGTCCTTCCCTCCAACATCATACTTGGTATTGTCATGCTCCCTCTTCCTCTTACCTTTATCCTCATTTTAAAAAAGAATAAAAGTTTCTGAACCTCATCTTCTCCAAATAGGTTTTCTTTTTTCCCTGTGTGTCTTCCAGTGCTACCTAGGATGCAATACTAAGGGCACAAGCTGTGTGACTATTCAATGAAAGGAAAGAGCTGGAAGCAAGGTGCCCTTCAGTTTTCAGTAAGCACAGTGACAAGATCCTTCAGAGACAGAACTCCTGCCTCTGCTGTTCCACATGAAAAGTAGCTATTGAGAGACATTTTACTCAAGGCAAGAAGGGGATATATGGTACAGATAAAGGCCAGAGAAGGAGATATCTTCATGGTAGGCGCCCAGACTTTTCATCACCATCAAATCACATTACCCTCTCTCATTAAGTCTCAACTAAAGATGGTTTTCAGAGTGTTTACTAGACTTTCTCTAAAGCTGTAGTCATTTCACACAATTGTTTACTCAAACACTAAGACTTATTAAGTGTTCCTTAATCCAAGGGCAAAAAGAACCAGACAGCCAACCTAAGACGCTATCTGATGCCACGTGGTCACTGGCCTGGCTGACATTTCTTCCACATACCATACAACCTTGCAACTTAGTCACCTGGCTAGGAAAATGAATTGTCTGGCTGACACTCTCCATGTCTTATGACTGCAATAATCCTGTTTGGTTAAGAAATGCATATTTTTATTTCCCATCTGGACACAGTGTCTGGGGAAAGAAATTAATTCAAGTTAATGGAATTGAAAACTTTGGCAAACAAGAACTTAATCAAGAGGGAATGGAAAAGAAACAGGAAAGAATGATGTGCCCTGTCATCAGGTAGAGGGGGTGGATGGACATTCAGTGCCTACCAAACAAAGACAAAGACACAGGGTCTCGGGAATGGGTCATTCTTAACTGAAAGAAACTTGAGTTTGAGTCTCATGCAGAATTCTTTCAGAAAATAAAGTTATGGTATGGTTGAATTCACAGTTATTTAAAGAAATATCTTTTTAAAAATACCTCTTATCAAGCAGCAAAGATAGGCAAGAGATCTATTTTTACTGGATGTCTATTTTTGCTTCCAAACTTTGTAGTCTATATTACCTATGTGGTAACTACTCAAAATTTTTAACAAAAAGGAATAGTAAAGATGAATTTAAAAATTAAATTTAATGTTTACTCAAGAAAAACAATACACTATTCATAATTTCTCAGAGATACTCATTTTTCCAACCACTGTCAAGTCAAAACCGTTCAGTGGAACTCAGTCTTCCTCATCTGTGCAGCATAAGTTGGAAAGAGCACTTATTTGTTAGTAGATAGCAATATTGTATTTCTAGGGAAGAATTTACCTGTCTCTCTGTGAACTTTTCACAGAGCTTTCTGAAGAAACAACCAAGTCACTACCCCAAGAACCAAGTAGATGGACGGCTTGAATCCTAAGTGTTCCTTTAAGTAGTGTTGTGGATAAGGGAAACTTACATCCCTAGCCATCTGTCTTGTTCATTAAAACAAACAAACAAAAACCACCCACCTCTGAAATAAACTCTTCTACAAGATGCTTGTGGTGGGAGCTGGCAGGATCCTGTAGCTCTTCCCTATATTCCTTCCCCAAAAGGTGGATACTGAATTCTGCAATCTGTTCAGCTGCTGGTTTTGCGGGCTCTTCTATAACATTCACAATTTCATTGCTAATCTGGATTATTAGAAAAGAACAGTGTCAGTGTTTATTTGTTCACAACAAATACTTATAAGCTGCCTACAAAGTTCCAGACACTGTGCCAGAGGTCATTTCTGACAATGAATTTTTATGTAGTATTTGACTCTGAAACAAATTAGACAGAATTTAAGATATTAAAGTTATTAATATTAAAATTATTGTGCATTTCTACATTCCTTTGAACACGCACTGACCAGTTCAAGGCAAGATAAATAATTTCCCATAGGAAATCATCAAAGTAAGTTTTAAAAGAGTTGACTATTATGTAATTACCATTTAAAAATAGTCTAGGAGAGCAGTTCTCCAATTTTGGTCCTAGAGCCCTCTTAAAAATAAATAAGCAAAGGGCCGGGGATTTAGCTCAGTGGTTCTAGTGCCTGCCTCTCAAGCGCAAGGTCCTGAGTTCAATTCCCAGTACCAATAAATAAATAAATAAGCAAGTCAAAGGAGTATGGTTTACATAGATTACACCTATAAATATTTACCAAACAAAATTTAAATGTGCTATGTACATGTACCAACTTCCCACAAGGAATGTAGCTAAGTGTGGTGGCTCCCATCTGTAATTCCACACTCCGAAGGCTGAGGCAGGAGGATTGCTGAGAGTTCGAGGTCAGCCTGGGCTACACAGTGAGTTCAAGGCCAGCCTGAACCACATAGTGAGACTATGTCTCAAAAAAAGGCGGGAATATAAACATTAGATACTACACACATGTACTAAGAAACTATAAAACTGGAAACAAATTACAAGAGAGAACTGAAAAATATTTATTCATTTTTAATTCAGTAAGTTTATTGATACATTTTAGAAATATATAATGATCACATTCATCATAGAGTTTATACCTGTACATGATATATCTTGATTCTTTTTTCCCCATTCCTTCCCCTCCCTTCAACCCTTCTTCTCCTCCTTATTTACAAAAGCTTTGTTTCCATCCATTCCTTCTTTTTTTTTCTTTTTCTTTCCTTTTCCACTCCCCCCGACCCTGTTCTCCTTCCCATTTGAACATTTTCTTCCTATTTCACAATATCTATTATAGATTTTGGTCCTTATGTATACTTTTGCTTTCTCACACCAGAGAAACAATGTGATATTTATTACATGTGTGTCTGATTTATTTCACTTAAGAGTGTGGTCTCAAGTGCATCCATTTACCTAGAAATATCTCAAGTTTCTCCTTCTTTATGGCTGAGTAGTTCTACATTGTATTTTTTTTAAAACACCACATCTTCTTTATCCATTCACTGGTTGATGGGCATTTGGGCTGTTTCCAGCTGTTGCAAACCGAGCTGTTATAAACATGGGTGTACATATGGTATGATGCTTTTCATTCTTTCAAGAAGATACCAAGAAGGGGAACAGCTGGGTCAAATGGGACCTCTAGTCCTACTTCTTTGAGTAATCTCCATACTGATTTCCACAGTGGTTGCACCAGTCTACACTCTGACCGACCATGCAGAAGGGTTCCTTTTTCTTTCTTTTTTCTTTTTTTTGTGGTATCGGGGATTGAACTCAGGTCCTTGCGCTTGTGCAGCAGGCAGTGAAACCACTGAGCTAAATCCCCGGCCCAAGGGTTCCTTTTTCTTCACTCTCTCACTAGTATTTGTTATTGGTTGATTTCTTGATGATAGACATTCTTTCTGGAATGAAGTGGAATCTCAGCATTGTTTTAATTTGCATGTCTCAAATGACCAGTGATGTTGAACATTTGTTGGGAGCATACCTTCACATAAAACAAAAAGAAAGGGAGCTATGTCGGGAGCAATGCTACATAATTTTAGGGAAAAATCATTTGGTTAGCTTAGTTCTGCCTACAGCCCAGCTATGGAATTCTGAGACACAGTTCCATTTTGGCCTCCGGTCACAACTGAGACCTCAATGATCCAGTGATGCTGTGATTCTCCAGGACAAGAAACATCCTGGAAGCTGAAAACATCCTGGGAGGAACAAACATCTACTCAGGTCCTCCTTGTTCTTGGATTGTTACATCTTATTTACGCAGGATGTACTGAACCCTCTGCAAGTCATTTCTTTCTCCCCATGTACTGAATATTGAATAAAAGGTGCGGTAAGCTGGGGGCTTTTGTCTTTGCTGCCCAGAGCAGCACTGATCAGACCTAAAACTCAGCTTCTTTTCAGTCTCATTTTTCCTGTAATTCGCCGTGTGCTGCCGTGCCTTGCAGGAGACTAGGACTTACTACAGAGGTTCTGGTAACGTCCCCTTCCCCCGTTCCCTAAAAACATTCTTTCATATATTACTTTGCTGTTTGCATTTCTTCATCTGAGAAGTGTCTATTCATTTCAGATGCACATTTTTGGATTGGGTCTTTAAATTTGTGGGTATGATTTTTTTGAGTTCTTTATATATTCTAGATATTAGTCCTTTGTCAGAGAACAGCTAGAAAAACCTTTTTCCCACTCTGTGGGTTGTCTCTTCACTCTGTTGATGGTTTCTTTTGCTGTGCAAAGGCTTTTTAATAAGATGAGATATCAGTTATTGATTCTTTATATTTCCCAAGGATTTTGTTCATAAAGCATTTGCCTACACCTATGTCTGTGAGAGTTCTACCTATTCTCTTCCAGTAGATTCAGTGTTTCTGTCTTAATATTTAGATTTATGATCCATTTTGATTTTAGTTTAGTGCATGGTGTGAGACATGAGTCTAGTTTTAGTCTTCAGCATGTGGAAAGCCAGTTTTTCCAGCACCGTTTATTAAAGAAACTTTTTTCCAGTGAAGGTCTTTGGCCCCTTTGTCAAAGATAAGATGGCTGAGTATGTTTGGAGTTTTTTCTGCATCTTCTAATCTGCTTCATTGATCCTTGGATCTAATTTTTTGCCGGTACCATGCTGTTTTTATTACTGTAGCTTTGTAATAGAATTTTAAGTCAGGGATTGTGATGCCCCCTGCCTTGCCTGCACTGCCCAGAATTGGTTTTGGTATCCTCTTCTGGTTCCAAATAAATTTTAGGATTGTTTTCTAATTCTGTGAGGTATGCTATTGGTATTCAATCTGTATAACAATTTGGGGAGTATGGCCATTTTCACTATGTTGTTTCTCCTACCCAAGAGCCAGGGATATCTTTCCATTTTCTGATATCCTCTTTGATTTCCTTTTTCAGAGTACTGTAGTTTTCAAAATAAAAATCTTTTACTTCTTTTGTTAGATTGATTCCTAAGTATTTCATTTTTTTCAATGTTATTATGAAAGGTGTGGTTTTCTTAATTTCTTTCTCTGTGAGTTTGTTATTTGTGTGCAGGAATGCTATGGATTTTTGAGTGCTGATTTTGTATCCAGCTATGACTAAATTTGGTTATTAAATCTAGAAGTCTTTTGGTGGGGCTTGGGGTCTTCTATGTAGACTATCATGTCATCAGCAAATAATGATAATTTAACTTCTACCTTTCCTATCTTTATTCCTTTTCTTTCTCTGTCTAGTTGCTGTGGCTAATGTTTCCAGAACTATTTTGAATAGAGTGGTGACAGTGGACATCCTTGTTCCTGATTTTAGAGAGAAAGCTTTCAGTTTTTGACCATTTAGTATGATCTTGGCTGTTGGTTTGTCATAGATGGCTTTTATCAGACTGAGATAAAGACCATCTATTCCAATTTTCTGTAGGTTTTATCAAGAATGAGTGTTGGAGTTTGTCAAATGCTTTTTCTGAATCTATTGAAATTATTTTTGTGATTTTTGTCCTCGTCTCTGTTAATATGGTGTTCTACAAGGCTATGTAAACTGTAAGCAGCCCCATCCCTCGGTCCCAATGGTAAATGGCTTAGAAATTACCGTTTTTCATCAGTGGTTGAAAGAGGAACCTTTATTTTTAATATATTGAAGTTAATTTTCTCAGTCTGGATTGGTGCTTAGACTGCACAATCTCATCTAGTTCACCCATGGAATTCTAACCATATCACTACAGGAGCCGGTCGAAATGAATCTTCATACTTTTGAATAAGATTTTTAATGTTCTCTAAAGTAACTCATTCATCTAGGAACCACTTTTTAATCAGTTGCTAACTAAAATAGTAAAAAATAATCAATGCTGCCATCGTAAAAAGCAAAAGCCTTTTTTTTTTTTAAATCTCCAAGCCAGCCGGGTCCTGGCACATGTACCCCACCCTCCATCCGCTGGTGATTTCCTCTCGTGCAGACAAGGCACAGGTGCTAGTTATGATGCTAGAATATCGGAAGCCAGGCCTCAAGCGATTTGCTGTACAGCCCTGCTTCTTTCTTAGCAAGGTAATCGGATAGACAGAAAACCCAGTATTTACTTCTGACACTTTATCCTGTCCACATTTACTTTGAAATGCTGAGACAGTTCTCTGAGAAAGTTAAGGCAGCACAGCCCTCAGGATTACATTAAGCAGATGCGTGTGAGGTCCCTGAACTCATATTTCATACTTTTCATTGGTTTTGATAATTACAGTAGTCACAAATATTTGGGGAATCATTAAGAATGACTTATCAACTCTTTTAAGGAAATCAGAGAAAACTGCATTGTGATGAACTAGATTAGCTGTAGCTTCAAGGAAAAAAAAAGTTGAGTGGTGCCCCCCACTGTGGAATGATCCCAGCAGTTACTAGACAAGACAGCTGAAGTAATCGAATGACTTCTGCCAGCCCCTGGCCTGGTGCTGCCAAGCCATAGAAGTTAAGACTACAGTGTTGCCACCTTCCCTATAAAACAGTGTTCGAAAGCCCAGTGAGCCCTAGAAAACACCGTGTTCTACTGATGTTCTTTCTCTACAGACTTCAGTGTGTAGGGTCGTTGGGAAGCTGCTTTGGAAGGATAAAGATCATTGGTAAATGCCATTGCTTTCTGAATCTGGATCATTTCATCACTTGCCAGTGGAGGCAGACAGAGAAGAGTGCCTATGATAACAGGTTCTAACATGGGGGAGGCTCTGATGTGGCAACCAAAGGTTTACTCACTATGGATCTGATGTCTCCACAAATCACAACAACCAATAAT